ATTGGCCAATAATGCATTCCATTGTCCTCGAACATGAAACTGGGAAGTTGGATTGACGAAATCTACAAGTTAAATGTGTTTCAGTTTGAATCCTTATATTCTCTACTGTTTGTATTTGCCACTACTGCAAGCATAGAAATAACAAAAACAATGTGCTGTGTGGAAAACCGTAGATACAAAACTTTGAAAGCTATTGTCTGATAAACATCTAAAAGTAGTACATAGACAACTGACTTAAAGCCACATTGCAGAACTTTTTGACTAAAATATTAGTTTGACTTGAGGTAAATGAAATAATGTTTTTGGGTGTTATAAAGCACTTGGTGAATATTAGTGCCTCTGTGAGGGCTGGCATTCTCAAAAACTAACGTAGCTTGAAAGATTCAAATCCATTACTGAATGAGTCATGTGACCCATGGAGGGACTTTATAACAGTCTGATCTCTCAATGATTATGTATGACACTCTACTGATCAGACAAATGTTGGGTTTCCTGATGTAGGATTTATTCTAGAGGAGTAAATTTGCCCTTATCTTTACGAGCCACATGACTTCTCAATATGCTGGTTTGGTTTCTACAGAAGCATCTTGCTGTCACAAAAGTAAATACAATATTAAAGGTATAGTGGGGAATTTTCATGAATCTTTGAGAAGACCCGCCCTCTCTCTTAAAAAAAAAAAAATGCACATGCACATCCCTGTACCTGCTTCCAAGACGGTACGGGGTACAGGTGCATACAGAGAGCGTGCACAAGCCCATTTCTTCTCGTGCACGCTCTGTTTAAAAGCTGCTGTTTGCATCGCTCATACAAGCTTCATTTCCAAAAGAAGATTTGCAAATTTGCCACCATGTCAGACTCACCACCAGTAAGTGAAAATGGGGACGAGCACGTAGGACGGCCTTATGCAAGCATATCAGCAGAATGATTGACAATTAGGAGGACCACCAGTAAAAGATTATCCTCCACTATACCTTTTAAACTATAATGTTATAACATCAAACATATATAATATATATAAACAAAATGTATGAACATATTTGAATGTATTGTTTTAAAATGATAAATATATCACAAATGGGATATAGTATAAACATTGTAATTATATTGTACTAACATGATCACTATATTGTATAGATATAGTACAATATAATATGATTGCATAAATGTGATAATTAAAGGACATAAATGAAAAAATCATATTTCAAAAACCTCCTACGTAGCGGTGGTAGTCTTCATAGTACATATAACATGCTCAGGAAGTAAAATGGCTAATTTAGAGGAGCTGATCAAGTTTTACTTCATGCTTGATTTAAGACATGGAGACATCTAATTGTTTTAAATGTGTGAAGCGATGGAGAATGCAGCTCCATCGCCTCACTCGGTAATAAGTAGCTGAATTAAGTTTGCAAGAATTAAGTTATTTGGAATGATTCAACTTGACAACTTATGAATACAAAAAATGTTAAATTTTTAGTTTGTTTATTTATAATAGAATACAACATGGAGAATTATATACATTTATAAAGTGCTCAAAATGGGCCATAAGTCTCTCAAGTGTCAAAGACTTGAAGCTGTAACTGAGGCTTTACTTCAAACAGGTGCAGGACCAAACTGGAAATCAGTGAGCTCTGCTTCATATGGGGGATTTTATGAAACTTAACTGAATGCAAGTTCATGATGACTGAAAGGTTCCCTGTCAAATATTCAGTGAATTCACTCAAGTTTATCAAATATTTAAGAGAAAACATTATCAACAGAAATGCTTCCCCAGAGTGTACTTTATGTTTTATCATTATGTCATTTGAGATGTTATCACTTATGATTTTGTATTTTTGAATTTCTTCCTGGGGTCCATACAAAAAACTCATACAAGACAAAGAAGAAAAGAAAATTACATAAATGGTGTTACACAGAAAAAAAAAAAAAAAAAAAAAAAAAAAAAAAAAAATATATATATATATATATATATATATATATATATATATATATATATATATATTACCTACACACATGCACACATGAAATATACACATACATATACACATATATACAGCACATATACATATATATATATATATATATATTACCTACACACATGCACACATGAAATATACACATACATATACACATATATACAGCACATATACATAGAGAGATGAATAGAATAAAGGAAATGAAAGTGAAAATACACCATGCTACACTAGTCGAAGTAATTTTCCCAAAATCAGGATTAATAGCTGAGCTTCAGATTAATCAATCTTAAAGGGATAAGGTCAGATAAATGTAAACAAGATGAAAGCGTATATATGACTTAATGTATCCTGCAATAATTTCACTTTGCTTTTTAGTTCTGTTTAAAACTTTCAAGGACCTCATTATTTAGGATAAACACAAATTAAAACCTAAAAATCTTCCTTCCTAAATTGTTTAAATGACAAAGCTCCTTGAAAAAGTAAGTTGAAATGGCATATTGTTTTCATTTCTATCAGTTTATTGTTTATCTGTGTTGATATTCTTCTGTAAAGGGAAAACAGGATAGGGAGGGGAAGGCTGAGTCAAAACTAGCTCCTCTTTACACAAGGAGCTCTGTGGAAAAATGGATCAGCAGCTGCTGAGCCTCCAGGCTTTAGGATAAGTCTGCAACATGTGGCCTGTCAGCACCATCCCTGTGGCCATTGCTGACGTAACATCAGGGACACTGGAAGTGCAGGCTGTGTGGGAAATGCACCGACTTTGTGTGGGAGGCAACGTGTAAAATGGCTCTGTAAGTGATAGTGGACAGAAGCTGTCAAAATATCTATACCTGCTCCTCCGATCAGAGCCAAAACTGATCTTTAATCTGTGTCTGTGGTTCCGGTCTTGCAAATAATTTATTATCAATAGGGTTAAGGTTTTTGCACTTTGCCTTTAGTGTCTTATGTTATGATTTCACATTTTGGACATTTTGTTGCAGTTTAAGTTTTTCACATTTTGGACATTTTGTTGCCGTTTAAGTTTTTATCTTTTGGGGGTTTCTAGTTTGGTTTGTTTTGTTCTATGTAGTTTGCATTTAGATNATTAATAGCTGAGCTTCAGATTAATCAATCTTAAAGGGATAAGGTCAGATAAATGTAAACAAGATGAAAGCGTATATATGACTTAATGTATCCTGCAATAATTTCACTTTGCTTTTTAGTTCTGTTTAAAACTTTCAAGGACCTCATTATTTAGGATAAACACAAATTAAAACCTAAAAATCTTCCTTCCTAAATTGTTTAAATGACAAAGCTCCTTGAAAAAGTAAGTTGAAATGGCATATTGTTTTCATTTCTATCAGTTTATTGTTTATCTGTGTTGATATTCTTCTGTAAAGGGAAAACAGGATAGGGAGGGGAAGGCTGAGTCAAAACTAGCTCCTCTTTACACAAGGAGCTCTGTGGAAAAATGGATCAGCAGCTGCTGAGCCTCCAGGCTTTAGGATAAGTCTGCAACATGTGGCCTGTCAGCACCATCCCTGTGGCCATTGCTGACGTAACATCAGGGACACTGGAAGTGCAGGCTGTGTGGGAAATGCACCGACTTTGTGTGGGAGGCAACGTGTAAAATGGCTCTGTAAGTGATAGTGGACAGAAGCTGTCAAAATATCTATACCTGCTCCTCCGATCAGAGCCAAAACTGATCTTTAATCTGTGTCTGTGGTTCCGGTCTTGCAAATAATTTATTATCAATAGGGTTAAGGTTTTTGCACTTTGCCTTTAGTGTCTTATGTTATGATTTCACATTTTGGACATTTTGTTGCAGTTTAAGTTTTTCACATTTTGGACATTTTGTTGCCGTTTAAGTTTTTATCTTTTGGGGGTTTCTAGTTTGGTTTGTTTTGTTCTATGTAGTTTGCATTTAGATAATTTTTGTTTTCTTAGTTTTGCTTGTCCTGTGATCTCTTTTCTTAAACATTTTTGGTATTATTTATTCCTTGGTCTAATTTTAGTTATAGTTATTCTTCCTCTTATATTTAGGGGAGGTTTTCCATTGCTTCAGTTATCTCCAGTTCCTTCTCTTATCCTCTAGTTTTCCCTTGGTCATTCCTTATTTAGTTTTATTCCCTTTTATCCTTATTAAATTTCTATTCTAGTTACATTTAGATCCTGTTGTTTTTCTGTGGTTATTCTTTGCTAGTGTTCTCTCCTTTCCTCTTAGTTCCTTCTGGTTACTATGTCTACACCTTCTCCCCTATAAGCTAATTAATCCTCCCATTGTTATTGTCTGCCATATACACTGCAAAAACGATCTAGANTTACTATGTCTACACCTTCTCCCCTATAAGCTAATTAATCCTCCCATTGTTATTGTCTGCCATATATACACGCCTTGTTCAGTTACTCATTGCTGGATCCAGCCTTCATTCTTTTGTTTTATTCCTCCCTTTGTCTTCCAGTTTTTTGGTTCTTGAGTTTTATTTTTTGTCAATTGGTTCTGGAATATGGATTTTTTTTAATCTTTTCTTCTTCATTAAATTTAGCAAATAATAATCTCTGCTTCTTCTACTCTGCATTCAGGTCCACTACAACATCCAAAAACCCTGACATCTTGATAATTAATATTATCTGAATTTGTATTTATCTGTTGAAAAGTTTCAATAAAGGGACAAAAGAAAATATTTAATGTTTTTGTTTAAAACACTTTCTGTTGTTTAAGCATTATCTGAGAACTTTAAGTGTGTTCTTTTTGTATCTGGTACACTGAAAGATTTAATTGCACTACTGTAAACATCTAATTTTGAAGTACATATAATTTTTATTCTTAAATGGATCACATTGTACATTTTACAGATAGATTTTCTCTGATTTGAAATTATTTTGTGCAACTTTTTTTTAACAATTTATGGGTAGAGCTGGGATTTAAAAAAAAAATATGTGCAGAACAACAAAAAACGATTTTCATTTTTTTGTTGGTTAATAGCACATTTTAATATTGTTTTTTTTTTTGTTGAAATATACTTTTTTTTTTTTAACACAGTTAATGTTATAACATTAAATGTAAGGGTTGTAATTATATCTTACATATTGAAATGCTGAAAAAAAAAAGTCTCTACAGGATGTGAAAATGTAAAAAACTGCCCTGGCGAGTTTGCTCTATAATAGGTTATAAAGCGTTATGAATAAACATACAGTCATTACAATGCAAACGGCACAAAATACTAATCATGATGAATTACTTTACAGGCTGCTAAACAGTCTTGTCACGCAATACTTAATCTGAGTCATTTAAAGATATAGAACCTAATCTATAGAACTGATTGGGTAACATGGATGAAAGTTCACTTATAATCTAGATGAAGAATAAATCTTTCACAAGTTTACATGTATGAATAAATCCATGATCTGTCAGAATAATGTGTTTTGAATTTGTTCTGCTCAGAAAGGTCATTATATCAAATAACAATTAGAAGATCAAGGGTTAAATATTTCTACAAAGTCTTTACATCACCAAATTGAATCAAACTTTTGGAAAAGTAGATTAGAATAATATTGAAATGATTATTTATTTCAATAATGCTGTCACTAATGGACCTCATTAAGTAGCCCAAACACGCTGATTACACAAACATGATATTTAAGATTAAAATAGTACTTCAAGTCAGGAAAGAAGTATGTGTAATAAAGAAATGTATGCAAAATTCATTTTTTTTTCAAAATGCATTTAAAAACACATTCAGTGAATGTATTAAATGTGTAATCGGTCGTGGCATCAACGTGGCACAGCCAGGAGTCTGTACTCCTCAGGGGAATGAGTGAAACCCATCACTCCCTCCATGCTGGGCATTTCTCCTGGAACTGGAGCGAAGGTGAAACGCTGCAGCATAGTTGAAAAAAACAGGAAGAGCTCCATTTTGGCCAGATGTTCCCCCAAACACATACGTTTACCTGCAGTGGGAAAAAAATGGAAATGCTTTACTTGATACCTTCAGTTTATTTTTATAAGTAGTGTAAATTAGAGCTTGTTCATACAGATGTGTAGACAGCAACGGTTCTACGCTTTCGTATTTTCTAGACATAAGACAAAAATATAATTTGCTTTTTGTCGTGTGGCTAGATAGAATCATTGATCTCCATTTTATGGAAATGCTAGAAAACAATGATTTAGTTTTATGCCTGACACTGATTTAATTACTTAAATATTTTCTGACACTTGGAAGTGTTGACTAATTGTGTAATCATTTTTTGAGCTGCAGCCATATCTCTTCAAGTTCAATCTTTGAGTTTCAGTTTTGTAGGATTTTCTTGTTTAACCCCCTACCAAGAAATTGAATACCCAAAATCAGACAGGCTATGTTGTAGAAAAAAAGAATAAAACATATTTTTACAGTTTATTTTTTTGTAGGAAAAAACACACAGTTAGACCTCTGTTCCACTTTGAATCTGGGATTTAAGTCTGTTCAACCTGTTAAACTGGATTACACTTTTTTTTTTTCTTTATACAAACTGAACACAAGTAGCAAAGTTCAACAATTGTTTGCCATGATTAGCATCACAGGTGGCATTGATCAAACACATGAAATGTACCGTTCCTTGATTTGAGGAGCAGAGAGAACCCCTAATCCCCCTCATCTCACCATTGTGTGCATATATATCAAGTATATCAGGAGTTTTGAATTTACCAACTTGTTACCAACCTGCTGAAAATGGCAAGAAAGCATCTCTTTTGACAAACTTTCCCTCTGAATCCAAGAAATGCTCAGGATTAAAGACATCCGGAGTCGCCCACTCATTCTTATCAAACAACACAGAAGACAGGATTGTGGTGGTACTGGTTCCCTAAAACAGAACACAACATGTTTCAGACATCAGAAGCAAACAAATGATTTGCAAATTTCTTCAAAGAAAATTAGTATAGTTTCTGTTTTTATTCTCCCACCTTAGGGATGAAGTAACCTCCCAGTGTTGTGTCTTTACTGGCCATTTTAGGAAATCCCATGGGAACGATATTTCCAATCCTTTGCACCTCATGGATGACGGCATCAGTATAGGGCATGTTTGGCCTGTCAGCCATAGTGGGCTGACGAGACTGACCAATCACTCTGTCTATCTCTGCTTGGACCTTCTCTGAGAAAAGAAGAAAGAGAATAAAAGCCTCTCAACTGAGATGAGAAACCATTTTGAGCCTTCACAGGGATAGTTCTTATTTCTGGAATAAGCTCACCCTGTATCTCTGGGTAATGCAACATGTAGAGAAGGGCCCAGCGTAACGTGGTGGCAGCTGATTCTGTTCCAGCCTCGATGAGGTCAAGGGTGGACACCACCAGTGTTTCAATGTTGAACCCGGCCAGGGGATCGTCTTTTTTCTACAAGACAAAAGAACAAGGGGATATTTACCAATATGCAATACTAGGCAGTTGCCTAGGGTCCCAGGTACCTGGGGGTCCCACAAAACTCTGTTTACATGTATGGTTATTACAACTATTCCTTATTTGTGCACATTAATTATGTTTTTGATAAAAAATCCTTTCGCTAAAATGCCATCAGATTGCTTACAATATTAAGCGTGTCTCGCAATTTTTCAGACCCCACTAGCACTTTTATTTCAAAAAAGTGCCTAGCTCCAAATTTAGCAACTTTTTTCTGCTACTGGAAACTTTGGAGCCAACATCTAAAAGCAGCGAACTCTGCTCTCCAGAGCAAGTAGATTGGTAACCCCACCTCTTGCTCTCCTCTATCTTGTCTGCTATCATGATTCATGCAGCTATTATTTCATCCAAATGAAAAATGGAGAACAGATAAGCAGATCATGGCTTGTTTACAGTGAAAAGAAGGACTGGGTTATTTACTTTTGGAAACACAGGAAGGAGCAATCAGCTAAGTGAGCTTAGTGCTTGGAAAAAATCTTTCATTCCTTTAGAGACAGCATGAAAATTCAGCTGAGTACAAAACATAGAGAGGAAAACAAGAAGAAAAGGGACAAGAAGAGAGGGACACAACCTAGAACAGATAATGGATGTCTATTCTATTAGCATTTCTCTATTTGTATAACGGGTCTATTTTAAGTGTTGTCTTCTCAGTTCAGAGGGCCCCCTGCCTGTCTTGGTCTAGGGCCCCAAATTTCCTAAATCCCCTCCTGCATTAGAAAATAGTATTTAATCTTATTATACCAAGGACTGCACTAACAGTTGTAACTCTATAATGAAGTATGCATAATGCACATAGCAAGGCTTGACTACATGCTAGTGAGGCGTTTCATACCACTGGTTTAAAATATCATGTTTAAGTTAACAGGATGAAGCAATGAGTCGATGCAATCAACTGGTTTTCCTTAGATAGAAAACTTTGAATCAATTTGATTGCATGATCTTGTTGAATTGTAAAGTGCCTTGAGATGACATGTGTTGGGAATTTGGCGCTATATAAAAAAACTGAATTGAATTAAAATAAAAAAAATAGGGTTAGGGTTAGGGATTTTATTATTTTTATATTTTCAGCAAATATCTCAGATGGTCCTAAAACATAAAAGTTATTCATCTATCAGCAGGATGATTGGCCTCCCATTTCAGTCCTACCAGGACAGCTCACAGATCAGCTGCACCTTCGATTCTTCTTGGTCACCGATTTCCAGTTCTAATGGAGATGGAGCCAAACCTGAAGATTCTACCTCTCTGCATAGTTACAGCCAGCGGCACACACACAACTTTTTTTTTAAAAGGATTCTCCTCACTATTTTTGATTCTGTTATCAAGACACTCACTCCTGTTAGATCACATGCAATACTAACCATTAATACTAACACATTAAATTGTTTGCAAGCTCAATTTTTAACTCATTATTTAAGGTCTTAGAATTTCAGACCCAGACCTGATTTTACAGAATTGTTTGACGCATGTCTGGTATTTTTTTTTTATGCTTCACCTTTTCTATCTCTGACAGGTATACGTCGATATAATCTCGAGGATCATCCGGGTTCCAGCCCTCTTTGTGTTTCTCAATCTCATTTTCCAAAAACTTCACAATCCTCCTGTAGTTGGAATGGACAGTCTGGTGAGGTCCGGGAAGGTACGTCATCAGGCCAGGGAAGGCATCAAACAGCTGTTGATTGGACAGACTATCAGATCATGCCACACAAAAACTAAAAATTGTGTCTTTTCCAATACCTGAGCCCGAAGGGAACCAGACAGGATAACAGCTTCATTGTCCAGCTCCAGAAATTCTCGAAAGCTTGGATCTGAGTATTCAAATCGATGTCCAAAGACCACGGAGGAGATTATGTTACTCACTGCATTTGTTAAAGTGTAGTGAGGATTAAAAGGCCTTCCTGAGAAATTTGAGAATTGAGTTTAAATCAGCATAAATCTTTCTTTGGAAATTTTTATTTTTATTGATTTTAGCAAACGTCAACTTACCTTGCTCATCTTTGAAGGCTTCACAAAGAAAGAGAGCTTCGACTTCAATGTACCTTTCTAGAGATTTTTGGCCCTCTCCAAAGTAGCGTAAGTGAGTGTTGGCAAACTTCCTCTGCTTCTTCCACAAGTAGCCATTACTGAGAGCTATACCTGTGACATTAATAAAACAATTAACATGTTCTTTTTAGCTAGATAACTCACTGTTTTGTTAGCTGGGATGCAAACACAGAGAGGATATTTTACAGCTCCAGTTAACTGTTGGTTAAGGAAGCATGGACTTATGGCTATACCTGCACTGACCTGAATGTAATCAGAAATAAATAAATAAAATAAATCATAAATTGAACTTTATTGATCTCATAATTGAGAAATTAGCTCTCTGCATTTAACTCATCCCCTTTGGGGAGCAGTGGGCTGCCACTGTGCAGCACCTGGAAAGTAATCGGGGGTTAAGGGTCTTGCTCAGAGACCCAGATTGGCAGATTGGTCTGTGGGAGTGGGTTTCACAACACACAACCTTAAGGATTCCAAGCCCTGTGCCCCAAACGCTAGGGGTGTAAATAATAATCGTTTTGTATTGATGCATTGATCCAACAGCCGACGATCCGATGCATCGAGACGTCTGCAAGATGTTTTCATGTTTGGTTCATGTTTTTTTCCCCTCCGGTCTATTTTTATCCATTTGGTCCTGGACGTAATCCTTACTCCCAGGCTGAGGTGGCGCTAAACCTATTTTACCCTCCTACCTTGCTTCCTTTAGCCACTACCCTCTTTTTTTTAATGCAAGGCCTTTCAGAATATACACAGAGGTATTATCTTTCTGTGAATAATGTTTTCATAGGCCTAGGTGTAGTACAACTTTTCTACTTCTGTTATTTGCTGTTGTTTCTTAAATAAAATGCATGACGATGTTACAGCTTTCATTGAATTATTTCAAATTTGAAACATTGTCTAGCCTGTAGGGTGAAATTTTTTTTCTCTCCGATTAATCAAATCGTATGGCATTGTGGTGTACTCTTGAGTATTGAAAATAATCGAATTGTTGGGGTCAGGAAATTGATGCTGAATCAAATCGCCATGATGGGTGTGATTTACACCCCTTCTAACCACTAGGCCGCCACTCCCCTCAGCTTTCTAAAGGAAAAAACAAAAAGAACTATCCACTATATTGTCCAACCTTATCCACAGAAAGCAGCTCCAATACTTTCTAGAGTTTGACAAGTGAAGAGATTCCAAACAGAGTTCAGATTGGTTGCAGCTTCCCAAACATTTCTCCCTTATCTTAAGAAACACTTTTCTTGCTCTAATGAATCTTTGTAATAATGCTTCATCTTAAAGAAAATAATATTAATATTTACAGCTCTCATCCCTAATCTACCAGGCCTGATGGATGCAAATGTTCTGCAAATGCATAAATGCACTTCAAATAAAAAGAGGAGTGCATACGCAAAATTAGGCAAGCAAAAACAAAAATTAAACTAACAGACAAAAACACAAGCAAAGGAAACTGCAAACTATTTCTGTATTTACTTGATAGATGTATTTTTCAGCAGAGCAACAAGTTTGCAGGGTAATGGACCGAAGACAACAATTTCTTAAAGTAGGATAGAATGATATGGTTTAAAAGCAGCATTTTAGCACTCACCTAGGCCTTTGAAGACAACGTGAAAAAGAGGAACAATCGGGCGATCAACGAAGCTGTCCAACTGGTTGACAAGAGCTTCTTTAACCATCTTGTGCCCTGAAACAAACACCAGCCTCTCACTGCCTTTCCTCACACTGAACACAGGACCGTACTCCTTTGCAACCTGTATGTAACAAAGATTGAGGGAAATCTTGGTCTAAAGATGACTGAAATAAAAAAAGAACAGCTGTTGAATGTTAAAATAATTATAAACGATTTATGTTAAATATTAATTATTAGATTTGGTTTCAGGAAACATTTGAAGTTGGAAAAAAATGTGGTCAACACTGCTGTGTGATTTACCTCCATGGGATTAAAAGCATGAAATCTGCTCTGAAGTTCTACACAATAACATTCAGTGACATTCCCATACATGCGCATTCTTTTAAAAAAATATTCTGGCTTTTACCTTCTCCATTGTTTTGAAGTCCAGCGGAGTGAGGAGATTTCCTACAAGAGGCGCAGCCCAGGGTCCCGGTGGAAAGTTAGGAGGCCTTCCGTTTTTCACAACATCTAATATCAACAGCAGAACAAACCCTAACAGAAGCCAGCCAGTAAAGTCCATGCAGTCCAAAAGAGCTTGGAAAATCATGGTGAAGAAATATTTAAAACAGCCCTGCGAAGAAATAAAAACTGGCCTTGTTCAGGCTGGATGGACTGTGTGTAAGGTCTGCTTAAACAGAAATGCAGATAACAGGAACAAAATACCCCAGCAACGAGAGAGAGCGTTATGTAATACTGGATTCCTCTATGGAGCCATTAGGAGAAAGAAACGAGGGCAGGGTTAAACACTTTTCCAGACAGCTGCAAGAATGCATAAAGTTAATTCAAATGTCATTATTCAACTTATTATTTTAACACAATCACAACTCCAGCTTTTTTTTGTTGTGCACACAAAAGCTTGATAAGCTTTTACCTTAATAAATGGCAAATACAAGAAAGACAAAACAGAAATTGTGAAATCCAGCACTTTCAGTAAGTATTGGGGAGCAGGCCTAGTTTTCATATCATGTATTTCATATGGATTTACCATACCAAAGCTTTGCAACTAGCAAAATTAAAAGATTTTTTTATATATTTATTTTTTCAAATGAATAACCCTGATCTGAATAATGACACACCATCCCATCAGTTTCCAGTAATTTTTATTATTGTTTTTTACATTTACAGAAGAATTTAATTAGTGTACTATTGGACCAATGCCAATCCCAAATACACTTACATTATATGAGGAAGACATCTTTCAATAATCTATTTTTTATATCAATATTTTTAAAAGAAGACTTGAGTCAGCAGGACATCCCACCAGACAAAAATTGCTTGAAAAGATGTTGAAAATATAACACGATCCACGTCCAAACAATGTCTGCATTTGGTTGAATAAAGAATGGTGAAGAGCCGAAAATTTCAGATCGTTGAAAAGACTTTGAAAAGTGGTTTTGCAACATCTTTTCAATGTCTTTTATTTCAAATCAAAATCAAATCAAATTTACTTGTATAGCCCTTTACAATAGCCAAATGGTACCCAAAGTGCTTTACAACAAAGCCATAAAAACAATACATAACATTTTCCACCATATTTTGCAAATAAATTCTTTAAAAATCAGACAATGTGATTTTCTGGATTTTTTTTTCTCATTTTGTCTCTCATAGTTGAGGTATATCTATGATGAAAATTACCGGCCTCTCTCATCTTTTTAAGTGGGAGAACTTGCACTATGGGTGGCTGACTAAATACTTTTTTGCCCCACTGTATATATATATATTTTTTTTCAAATGAATAACCCTGATCTGAATAATGACACACCATCCCATCAGTTTCCAGTATTTTTTATTATTGTTTTTTACATTTACATCTGCATTTGGCTGAATAAAGGATGGTGAAAAGCCGAAATTTTTAGGTCGTTGAAAAGACTTTGAAAAGTGGTTTTGCAACATCTTTTCAATGTCTTTTATTTAACTAAAGTGGGACAAAATCAGAGCAAACAAACAGCCCAATTTTCAACAAGTATTTCTGGACTAAATCAAGACTATGACGGACCAACCAGGTTCAGCCAAAAATTCAAAGTCTAAATGATGTCTGGTGTTTGGGGGGTGGGGTGGGGGGTTGGTTTTAACTGCCTTTTGAGTTTTTATCCTTTATCAATATTTTTCCTATTCAAATTCAACTCACGTTATTCTTAAGACAGTGAGCATTTAAATTTGGGCAAAAATAATTAATGTATATGTATATTCTTGGCCTTGTAAAGCTTGCTGATATTATTTCCTCAACAATGATAAGAGTAAATAAAGTTTATTGGACCACAAAAGCAGTGAAACCATGACAAAAAGACATCTCAGCAGTTTAACAAAATGTGTGCAGCTTTTATTATACTCATTGTCACAAATCTTCTGTCTTTAAGAAGTACTGCGTACTTATGAATGTGCAGAAGTGCTTTTATTTTGAAAGGTCAATACACTGAAACATATAACCCAGCAGACTAACCTTTGGCTTTAGCAGAGCAGTTTAGAGATGGAAGCAATATACAGTGTTCTGGGCTTAGGGTGGATAGACGGCAGGAGTATTTTAATATTTTTCTTTGTCTTTCTGCTTCTCAGCAATGTTTTAAAGAACCAAAAACCGAAAAACTTTCCTCCTGGACCTCTGGCGCTTCCCATTATTGGAGATCTTCACCGGATCCAACCTTCAAGACTTCACCTGCAATTCAGTGAGGTGGTACACTGGCCCATATTTCCAGAAATATGAGTCCGTAATAACTTATTGTTTGACATATATTTTAATAATGTATATTGCAATTGAAATTCACACTCAGGGTTAATTACAACATTATGAACTAAAATATACATTAAAATAAAAACATTACATAAATGCTGAAGAAACAGAAAGGTTGCAATAATCTACAGAGTAAAATTTTTCATTTGAAGAATATTAGTTTTTGTCCTACATTTCTGCGTCACTGTATCACCTGCAGTCACGTCTTTTTTTTTTAATCAATGAGTTTTTATTAATGAATCAATTACCTTTCTATGTCATTGTTCATGCAGTTTTATGTACAAAATGACAATAAAGACCGTCTAAGTCTAGGTTTTGAAGGTATTGAGAACTAAATATTTCAAAATCACAATTTTAGAATACTACTATATAAAGGAACCATATTGTAGGGTCTGACATGAATAATATTTGTGTAGCAATTTGAACTTTGATTGATTATGAGCAGGTTATTTTGCTGCAAGGATTTTTTTACTCCATGTCATATAGTTGCTCTCCGGTCTGGTGTTATAGGGTGAAGCAAATATTGAAGTAATCCTGAAAAATTTGCAACAAACCCTTTATCAGTTGTCTTTTTTCAGTTTGCAGAGAAGTATGGAGACATTTACAGCCTTCATATTTTTGGTGGCAGAGCTGTGATCATTAACAGCTACAAACATGTGAAAGAGGCACTGGTTCAAAAAGGAGAAGATTTCATAGACCGCCCTCCTATTCCATTGTTTGTTGAGTTATTTGGGAATAAAGGTATTAATTCAGTTTAAATAGTTACACTTAAATAGACATCTGACCTGTCAAACTTTGATGTTAATGCTGATTTCTTTTTTCACCAGGCCTTGTGATGTCAAATGGCAACCTATGGAAAATACAGAGAAGGTTTGCTCTTCATACGCTGCGGAACTTTGGTCTGGGAAAGAAAACCATGGAGCAATGCATCCAGCAGGAGTGCCAATATCTCACTGAAGCTTTATCAGAACACAGAGGTACAAACAGAAAGCTGTTATCACACACCAGTTTATGTCCTTTTACGTTAGAGTATATTTCTACATGTTCCAATAATCCCTAAAATAAGGTTGGAATTCCTGCAGTTTCTACATTATCTTATTTAGCCAATTATCTTGATGCAAAAAATGCAAAAGGAAAAACAAAAACAAATAAATACAATCCCAAGAGTGTTACATTTGAGGTCTCCCTTGAGATATATATATATATATATATATATATATATATATATATATATATATATATATATATAGTCAATTTATCACCATGCAGGCATAATGGACCTACTCTTAAATAAGGGTTAGAAAACAAAAATCAATTAACAAAAAGCAAGTGTACTTAGTTTGGTATTTTGCAGTGATCTAAGATTGCATGTGCAATGGATGACAGGGGCAAAAGTGGGAAAGGTATCTTTATTAAAATGAGGATTCAGCATATGACAGGATGCCAATATGGAGAGTTTGGAGAGCATAGTGGGTTTATTTTGCAACAGCACTGCACAGAGAGGGCAGGTATGATCCCCATGTGGAGAATATGCAGGAAGAGGAGAAGAAAGAACCTTCTCTGTATGTAGAAAATGAAAAATAAAACCAATATCTATCACATTAGTACTATGGAGTAACGTTTTGATAATTTAAACTATTGCAACCAGTCATGATTGGTCTCTGAAAGTATTGTCACTCAGAAATGGTCAACACATAAAGGCCAGAAAACAACTAATCCAATTTTGCGTCAGATCCAACAGAAAATTGTGTCGGATGAGGTCATAGTGTTTAGCGCTCATTAAACCACAATGGGGATGATCCAACCAAGACGATTTTACATGAAGGGGCTGCGTAGGTCCAACTGAGATAGGCCTAAGGTGTAGTTCAGTAGGACTACGCAGCAAGTCAACGGCAGTTAAAACAGATCTGCTTTGGGGAATAAAATAAAATCGCACAGGAGAAGAGTCAGTTTTGAGCTTGCATGTCGCGTATAGTAAGCAGGAAAGACTCGTTCAAAACCAATGAATGCAAAAATAAAAAAAATAGAATACTTTACCCATGATAGGAGTTCAGGAGGACAGAAAACGGATAAAGTATTGATCCTCTTTGAGCTTCACAAAAACGAGGGACAGAACGTGCAGTTTATCAATCTCCTCGGACAAAAGAAAAAAAAATCTGAAACAGAAAATGAATATAGTAAAATAGTGATATTCTTTCAGCCTCACAAAAAAAGATGTAGATCTTATTATGTTTTTAATATAGGTATATGAAGATTCCCTATCTGTTATCGTTAGTGGGACTGTTCATAAACGGTTCTGAAAGTTATTAAACCAGATCCATGCTTTCATTTGATTCAGCCAAATTATGAGGTTTTCATTTTCAGTGTTGCATCTGACATCCTGACTCATAGAACAAGGCAATACTTTTCAATCTGTCATCTATTATTTGTTTTATAGCTGTTATATATTTAATTTACCTTCGGGATTAATAAAGCAATTTTGGATTACTTTATTAATTAGAGAGGTAGGTGGAGGAAAAGTGTTTAAAGCCTCATCCAGCAAAGGGCGAATTTCATTCTGGATAGAAGTTTCTCCTTGGCTCAACCTCGGCCACCCTGTGGCTCTACCTTTCTTATACCTCATCCAAAGTACTCCTGAGCATTTTCTGCATTTGTGCTGCTATAGAATTAGACTGTTGGAGGACATAGGGAACCCTTTTGATCATTGCATCTCCATTCTTCCATTCTCTAGAATTTGTTAGTTCAATCTCTAACCTTATTCCCTCTCTGCTTTTTCTCATCACCATCATAGAGAGAGATATCAGCTGTGCTGCTGCCATCGACATATTTGTTTATAGATGTTGGAGCTTGGCCTGTTTTTCAGTGTAATCCTGTTTCTCTGACTGTGACCAACTGTATGTGCTCTCCCTTATCCTCTGACATAGGAGCTGTGTGTTTCATGGACGGGGCCGCCTGTGGAGCTGGTTGACAGTTGTCTTTTGTATCTCGGCTTCTTTTTCTTTGTTCGCTTCTGTCTCCTTGAACTCCAGTTGGCCTCAGCAGATGGCCGCTCACACTGAGCCTGGTTCTGCCTGAGTTTTCTTACAGTGGAGTTTTGCTCTCTACTGTCGCTATAAGCATTCTTGGTGTCAGGGATTGCTGAAGAGTCAATGAGTCAATACAATCAGCTGGTTTTTCTTAGATAGAAAATTTTGAACCGATCTGGTTGAATTGTCTCTATAAAGTGCCTTGAAAGGATATGTATTGTGGCTATAGAAATAAAAAGAATTGAATTAATTTGAGTCTAATCTAATTTTGGGGAGCCTGTAAGACCTGTAGCCATAGTGAAGTGGATATTTCCATCCTCACAGCTGCAACTTACAAAACCCTTGTTTTTAGACTATTCTCTGTAATTCTTGCAGATGACCTAAAAATGTCAGCAGTTCTGGAAATTTTAAAACCAGGCAACAGCAACCATGCCATGACTGATGTCAAATTCACTGGTCACATTACCAAACAGTAAATCCAAATTAGGTAGCCGGTGGGTGTATGTATTTTCTGGCAAGGAAAAAGGATCTAGAAAATCCAATAGAAAATTTTGTTTTTCTATTGGATTTATTTATTTTTTTTTACTCTTTTAATGTTATCTATGCCTAACCTTTTTTTTAACCTGAGTCTTGAATCCATTTACATTTTTGCAATGTTTATAAAACTGTCTTAAAATGTTATTGATTAAAAGTTGTTGCACCCTGCTGTGTTTGTTTTTTATTGCCCAGCTAAAAGTTTTCCTACCTTTTCCAACATTCCCTCATTTGACACAACTTCTTCATGCTCTCTATTCTCTGCAGGTAAACCCTTTAATGGCCGGTCACTGCTTATTAAAGCTGTGTCCAACATCATCTGCTGTTTGGTCTTTGGAAATCGTTTTGAGTACAATGACGAGCAGTACCAAACTATTCTTCAGTACTTTGATGATGTCGCTGAACTACAGGGAACTTTGTCAGCTCAGGTATGCATTGTTTCTGAAAAGCAGAGGATTTTATCCTGAAGTTAGAACATGTTCTTATATGCTTTCTGATATTTTATTATTTACCAATATTTACCAACTTTGAATCAATTTGACTGCATGAACTGGTGAACTGGGCCTTGAGATGACATGTGTTGTGAATTGGCACTATATAAATACACTGAATTGAATTGAATTGAATTCAATAGGCTCAGACACAGAATATACTTTTCATATATTTAGTAAGGAAACAAAGGTTCTGCTTTACTTACTTTTTAAACACAAACATCTTTCTTGTTGTTCCAATGACATTTTATCCTTGATTTTCAGATATTCAACATGATTCCCTCTGTGATGAGGTGGTTGCCTGGACCACATAAGACATTATTAACAATTCTTTATAAGTTAAAGGACTTTGTGGAAATTCAGATCAAAGAACACAGAGAGAGCCTTGACCCCTCATCTCCAAGAGACTTCATTGACTCCTTCCTGATAGAAATGGGAGATGTAGGTTTTTTTTATTTCCTCTTACATACCTTCTTTACATGTAATCAAATCATCAGTTTTTTTTCTTGTGTCATTTATAGAAAGAGGATGAAGATTCTGGTTTTGACCTCAACAATTTGTATGCTTGCACTCTGGACCTGTTTGGGGCTGGAAGTGAAACTACAACGACTACTTTACGTTGGGGGCTTCGGTTCATGATGTGCTATCCAGAGATACAAGGCCTGTTTATAAATAATATCATACCTTTGTCTTCCATATTTAATAATCTATGAATGTATGTTGTCTGCACAAGCTTTTATTTTAAACCTTGAACTCATGTTGGATCCTGTTTGTGTGCAGAGCGTGTCCAAGCTGAGATAGATGCTGTGATTGGTCCTTCCAGACAGCCTTCTGTGTCTGACAGAGACAACATGCCCTACACAGATGCAGTCATCCATGAGATACAGAGGTTCGGCAATATTGTTCCCCTCAATTTGGCCCACATGACAGCCAAAGACACCACAGTGGATAAATACGCCATCCCAAAGGTACAGTGGCGTGAAAAAAACATTTATTTTCTACACATGAATAAATCAATTCAAGCCATGCAAAGACAAACAATTAACAATTAAATCCAAGAAGGCAAACCAACAGCTTTCCTGCAGCCAACTGGACCAGTACTGCCTAATAATAGTTTTTCTGGTTTGACCTTTTTTTATATTTAACCAAGGCCAAAGTTCCAATAACACATGAGGAATAAGAGCTGGCACGTTTCCAGATAGCCTACAGTGGCAGATAGGATGCTGGACAGAAATTACAGAAATCCATTTCTCATGAGCTGAGTAAAGAGGGTCTTGTTAACCTAGGGAAGGGTGATATCCCCGTAGCTATATAAGTTCTGCGCATATTATCCCAGGAATTATCTGAGGGTTTACTAAGATAGAGACCTTAGGGTAGATTCCAGCTCCTGATTTATTCTTTCATATTCTCCATTAGACTGTTGGTGATAACACCCAGTATCAATCAGAAATGTTTCCAAACCTGAGAGGAAAATTGAGGATCACAATCAGATTTATCTCCTCTGGGATTCCATGTAATGGGAAGTAGTGTTGCACCGATGCCATTTTCTGGCCCCGATACCTGGCTTTACGGTATCGCCCGATGCCATCTGTTTTAAATTGAGGTGTGTGTGTTTATATGAAGAACTGCATACTACTTGGATGTAAAATAATTGCCATCATGGCTTT